GGTCTTTTGGCCTAGAGATGTTGGCTGATCTTCCCCAAAGTAGAGCTTTTGGCCAGATCCGTGGCCATTGCCTGGGCTTCATCTTCAAGAGCAAGGTGGGGGCGGGGTGAAGAAAGGGGCAGCCTGGCCTCAGGCAGCACTGACCTCTGCGTGGAGCTCAGAGGGTGTGGCTTACGTCATGGGGAGGCCCTGTGTCTAGCATGTTCTCTGACCCTGGGTGGGTGGTCCCAAAACTCCCACCCAGTCCCAGATCACTTTCATCTTGGGACTTGACCTAGAAATAGATACACATGAGACTCCTGACCAGCCAGTCTTGATCATCAGGTAGCACTGGGTGACTTTGGGTTTCCAGGTGGGCGTGGTGGTGCAGAACACAGACTCCTATTTGGAGGCAGCCCCTGGTGGAGTCAGGCCTGGTTCTGTGGAATTTCTAGCTAAGGCTGCCACAAACTGGCCAGAGACTTGGGCAAGTCGCTCCAGGTCTCTGGGCCTCAGTTTCCTCACCTGTTTAAAAAAGATGGTGTTTTAATCAGCTTTTTGTCATTGTGACCAAAATACTTGAAAAGAACAATTTAGAGGGAAAAAAGTTTATTTTGACTCATGGTCTCAGAGGCTCAATCCATAGTCGGCCAGCTCTAGCTCTGGGCCCAAGGTGAGGCAGAGCATACAGGTGCAGGGATGTACCTAGGAAAGCAGCGTAGAACCTGGCGACCAGGAAGCAGAGCTCTTCTCACCAAGGACAAAGTGTACACCCCAAAGGCACAGCCCGGTGACTTGCTTCCTCCAGCGATGACCTGCCTGCCCAGTTAATCCACACCAGTACTACTTAGGCCACAGCTCGCACAACCTGATCATTTCACCTCTGAACACTTTGCATCGTCTTCCGCCTGAGCTTTTGGAAGACACCCCATATCTAAACCACACAGATAGGATAAAAAAAGATCGCTTAACTTTTGTTTTGGAAACTTGTATGGTCTCTGCTACTTATTATCCCCAAACCTTGAATTTTCTCCATTAAAAATTGAGCAAAATGGAACCACTTAGTGATGTGTTGGGAAACCATATTTACAGTACCTTTTTATTAATAGACGCCCATGTATGCATTATGTACGCACACACTGACATTCACAGGTAGATCTGTATTTCTATATGTACAAGTGGATGTATATATTATTATATCATGTATGTGTGCTGGTCTTATACTACTTGATACTATCATAGTTCATATATAAGTAAAAACATGAAAATATTTAAACCAGATCACAAATAAAGGGAAAAGAGAGTCCACACTCTGGCTTTGGGGACAGTTTCATAACCTGTTTTGACACAGCGCATCACTGAGGAGGGCTGAACTCAGAATTGTGTTGGACAACCTCCAACTGTGGCTTTGAGACTTAGTCCTGAGAGCTCTGTGGATGTCGCTGAAATCTGAGAAAATAGCTGGATACAAAAGCCCCTACGCTGGCCTAACAGCTGGGGAGCCCTGCAGGCTCAGGTTTCCCTCTTCCCTGTGTGCCACCTCACACCGTAGCGTACCACGTGTGCTGGTGGATGGTGTTGTGCAGGTGGGTGGCTCTCCGGCCCTGCCTGACTTGTTGAAGACTGTCCCCCGATCAGAGGACAACCTCTGCAAACACAGGGGCTGTTTGTGATGAGCTCGTTGGTGATCAGGACCTGTCCTGGCACCGCGTGAGCAGGAGGGAAATCAGCAGAGATAATGCTGCAGTGGGCACCCCCAGCCCCGGTGTCAGCTCTCAGTTCATCCACGACAGACTTTAGGATAAGAACATACCATAAATTGAGCTTGCTAAAAACATTTGGAAGCCACAGAAATCGTGAAAAGGGCAAGGATTTTAAAGACAGTTTTGGATTTGAGCCCTGGCTTCCATCATTTGCTAACTAACTACATGGCCGAGGGCAGAGTAATTTGCCTCTCTAAGCCATGATTGTTTCATCTGTAAAATGGTCTGTTTGAAGATTATAAGTAAGTGTACAAATGGGTTCAGTCCAGTGCCTGATGCATAACAAAATGTTCAACAAATTACAGTAATTATGCTTCTCATGCTGAGAATCAGAGTCACTGTGTTTATGTCTGGCTATTAAGAACTGTTCAGACCATAGAAATACACATCTCGTATTTGCATACTTACTTATATGGTGAACGTAGCATATGCCCATCTAGGGAAATATATTTATTTATAATTTAGAGATGTTTTAACAGATTGTAATGACAACATTTCTCTTTGTGATGCATACTTGTGGCATATTAATTTCCTCCCCCAACCCCATCCCAGTTTTAAAGTGTGTGGAGCCATCACAGAGTAATTTTCTTACATTTTAGTTTTTTCTGGTTGGGGAACAAAAAAGAAAACAGCCTATGGGAATTGCCTTTGTGCCTTGGGGCTCCAAAACACTGCTTTATTTTTATGTACAGACTCTTTGTGGGTGGACTGTAGAAATTTTTGCTCTTGGAAATGTTTCGAGCTCCTGGGAAGCTGAATAGGGAAAAAAGAGCTAATTTAAAAAGCTGCCATCCGCCTCCTCTAATTAACTTGCTCTCCCCTCCCAGGAGAGGGCGCGGAAATATGAAAACAAGGCAGACGGCCCCGGAAGTGAGTGCCATTCCTGTGGCCCACAGTGGACCCCAGTGTTTTGACACAGAAATAGTTAATAGTAAACAAGATAGGGGGCACAAAGGGCCTGGTGTGCCCCTGCCCTGCCCACCCCCAGCGCTGCCCCCCACACAGGCCCCGTGAATGGCGGTCCTCCAAGCAGGTGTGCCATCGGGCAGCTGCAGCTAGACCCCAAGAGCATCCGGCCCTCCCTGTTGCTGTGCTGTTGAGAAAGACCAGGGCTCTTTGTGCTCCAGAGTCACATGTCACCAGTGCCCAGGGATGCAGAAGCTAGGGAGACGGACACTCAGTCCCTCTCCTTGCATCTCAGCTTGGGTGGAGCGGCACTGGGGCCTCCGGATGCCGGAGAAGCTCATGGCGTCTGTGTCTGGTGGTGTGGCTAACTGTTTTGGTGATAATGAAAGAGATTTAGATCTCAAAGTTACCAGCGAGGACATTAGGGCTGGGAATTCGGGGGACAGAGGCTGCTCTTCCATGGAGATGGCTTTTGGCTCCTGGCGGATGTGGTCTCCGGTGGAATGGGCCCGGTGGATGTGGACGGTGGTGAGCAGCAGCCGGGCTCCCGGGCCACCGGCCCTTCGAGGAGGCTCTGGAGAGAGGCAAGTTGGCTTCGTGCGTCTTGTCAGTGTTGCCCGGATGCTGGAGGCAGGGTGGGGAAGCCAGTTCCCAGAGTCCACCCCGGCCACCAGGGTGATCCAGGCTCTCCTTCCTCTTGGCTGCTGCGTGGTGTGACCTCCTGTGTCCTCGTATTTGTAAACAGACTCTGCAGAATCGCACGTTGCCTAGATCTGTCGCCGTCCCTGTGGGGAATGGGTCTTAAATTCTCCTCTTGGACAAAAGCTTAGTCCTTTAATATTAATGTGTGTGTGTGTTAAAACGTCAGTTTCCCTGTTGTGTTTGCATGAATTATAAGTATTTACTCATGAAACTCCATACTGTGCTGGCTCCGGCCCGGTGGAGCCCATCAAGAGCAGCCCTGGGGGTTGTTCATGTCTTTGGGTCCCTGGAGGACTTCATGGCCGGTTAGAGGAGTCAAGGTCCTTATGGGGGGTAGATGGGGGTGACCTCTGGCACCATGAGTCTCTCACAAGGGAACTCACCAAATGGCCCCTTTCTGTCCTCCTGGCAGATAGTGGAGGGATTGGTTTGGTTCCTGGTGCTCTCTGGCTGTTGGTCTTTAGAAGATGGTGGCCTGTACCTAGTCACTGGTCCTCTGACCCGGGAGAGGCCAGCAGTGTGCCTGCCCCACAGTGTTGGCCTACCTGGCTCAGCGGCACGGGTGCAGCCCAGTGTGTCTGTCACGGCGTGTTCCCCGTCACCTGCCCCACTACCGCCTGCCAAGGCCATTCATGCCAACGTGCAGTCCTCAGAGCCCACCCTCTTGGTAGCTAACCGCCTTGTTGCAAATGAACCCATTGGTGTTCGGGTTTATTTATCATATCCTGAGGTGGGAACTGGCCCGCTGCTGACGCCTCCACGCTGACCGTCCACGTAGCTGTGGTGGGGCGCCTGTCCACGGGCAGCTGGAGCCAGTGTACTGCTGCCCCCTGGCCCAGGCAGCATGCGGGGCAGTGACCTGGGGAGCCTCATCTTCTGGCTTAAGATGGAGCACCTGTGGAAGCAGGTGAGGGAGCAGGGCGTCTGCTGGGCTGTCTTAGCCCAGGGCAAGGCTTTGGCCATTGGCTGCCCATGCGACAGACAGTAGCTTCTCGGGGCGGACTTTTGGTCCACATCTCCAGGTGGAGAACCTTTCTTGTCCTGCAGGGCCCACAAGAACCGTGTCCACACCCCCGGGCTCCCAGGCAGGGCTTTGTGGCTTGGCCTGGGGCCCGTCCTTGCTGGCTCTCTGGCTCCCACTCACTCCTAGAGGCCCATTCACTGTCCTTGGTGTGGGCTCTGGGTGCTGTGAACAAGCGTGGCATGTACAGCCCCGTGGAGGAAAGAGAGGACACGATTACTAGCAAGTGAATGAATCTCTGCTGACAGTTTATGAGGGGCGCGGGGAAGGAGGGAGAGGGGCACAGACACCTAACTCCATGGGGTGGGAATTTAGGTGACAGGAACCACCCTGTCCAACACGCACACTGCCCTGGGTCTGAATGGACGCCGAGGAGTGGGTACCAGAGTTCCTCCGGAGAGTCTGCCGTGGGCGAATTTCCCCTGAGGTGACAAGTATGTGATCTGAGTAGAGCCGAGTTCAAGAATAAGGGGTTTGGTCCTAACCAGGTCCTCACTTTCTCACCTCTGTCCCCAGGTGGTTGAATTGAGGGCCCTCCTCTAGCTGCCCGTGGCTGGTGCTGTGTTGGAGCGCAACGTGCAGAATTGCCCTTGGCCCCGTCTCACCTGTGTCTCTCCTCTCTCCTTCAGGAGTTCTGACTCTGAAGAAGCATTTGAGACCCCGGAGTCAACGACCCCTGTCAAAGCTCCACCAGCCCCACCTCCGCCACCCCCTGAAGTCATCCCAGAGCCTGAGGTCAGCACACCACCAGCCCCGGAAGAACCAGGTAACGCAGGGCCAGGGCCCCTGGGAGACGGGCGGTGACTCCTGGCGGTGCACGCTGGAGGCAGATGCCCACCCCAGCACAGAGGGAGCAAGACCCTCAGACTAGTCACAGCCCGCAGCACTGGGCCTTGACTCTGGGCCGTGTCCTGTGTTTTGCAGGTTGTCGTCAAGGCTGGGGTGAGCGCCTACAGGGGATCGGACTGGATTGGGCTGGGTGTGCTTTGCGCTGGGAGCTTGTTACCCAGAGACTCAGATGGTGTGGAGCTGGAGCAGCTGGGTCCTGGAACTTTCCAGCAGAATGTTGAATTCTGCTTTTTGACCCCGTGCTCCTGTGAGAGTGTCAGGCTCTGTCCAGCTGATGTGACTCTGCACTTGTGTTCCAAGCACAGAGCCCCCGTGGGCTGGGGAGTAAGAGGAGAGAATCCGCCCATGGGCCGGAGCCTCACCACCCTGGGGCTACCTGATTTTTCTTGCTTCTCCACACCCACCCTCCCCTGCT